TTGTTTTTATATTTAATAAGAGAACTGTATTAGTTTATCTGTTTGGGGATGATAATTATTTTTGTATTTTTCTTTTTACAGCATATGACCAAGTGCCTGTCGACTCGATGCAAGGCTTGGAGATAGGTGGTCACCAGAATAGTGGCTATGGACCAATGGACAACTTACCAGATCTCGGTCCCCCTCCTCCTGCAGAGGACTTAAACTTTGAGAATCTGGACACCAATCTCCCACCGACACATGGGGGAGACACAAACCAGGGTATGGCCTGGTATGACACTGACCTAAAAAAAAAAAAAAAAAAAAAAAAAAAGCAGGGGGGGGCGAAAAAAAAAAAGCAAGGGGGGGAGGAAAGCTATACATGCTTCATTACAACGGATCTATTTCTTTTTGGAAAAATGATGATGATAAACTTAAAGCAAAAACTAAAGGGGGTAAGGGAAGAAAAAGAAGAAAAACAAAACTGAGATCCAGCATCTATAGTACATTGTGTGTTTAGTGTCCATATATGCATATCACTCCGTTCAGCTTTTGTGACATTTAATATCTAAAAAAAAAAAAAAAAAAAATTCTTTTGGTTTAAATCTTCTTTTTTCTGTTTTTTTTTTTTTTTCTTTTTTTTTTAACTCCATTTTACCACTAACGAAAACAGCAAGAGCAGCCACCATGAAACCAAATAATATACCATCAAAAAAGAAAATTTTTTTTTTTTTTTTTTTCCCTGGCACCCTTCATTTCATAACCTTGACCTTGAATGCCCAAATTGCTGCACCCATACACCCCCCTCCCCACCCCACCCTTCCCTTTTGGCCCATGTGATGGTGATGGTGATACATTCTGATCCATTAATTCTACATTTCTTTCTCTCTCTCTCTCTCTAATAAGCACCATGGACTGCTAGAAACTTATTTACTGAATGTAAAAATTAAATGTCTATTAAACAAACTCAATTAGTATGATGGTTTTTTTTTTTTTTCTTCTTCTCTTCTCCTCCATACCTCACCTTCTTATGTCATGATTAAGTGACATGAAATAAGTGGGTGATTGTGGCTTCTCTTGTATGGATATTATTTGTGGTGGTGGGGGGGGGGGGTTATATGATGATTTTTCAAGATGTCTACATTTTTACAACCGGATCAAAATTAGCTGGGGTTGATTCAAACTTGATACCTTCACATCCAAATTTTATTAATTATAGGTGGAGCATCTGTCACACAATCTCTACCCACATCCCACCCAACCCCACTCTAATCACTTTCCTTCCTTTTGCAACCCCCTTCAGATTCATATTAATTTTGTCTAGGCAAAAAAAAAAAAATGTGGTTTTGGGGTGATTAGTGGTGTATCTTTCTTGGACTATAGTCCCCAAATTCATTCTATGGAAGTGTTAAACTATGTGTTTGTGTATGTGTCTCTGTGTCAGTCTCTCTCTCTCTATCTCTCTCTCTATCTCTCTCTCTCTCTCTCTCTCTCTCTCTCTCTCTCTCTCTCTCTCTCTCTCTCTCTATCTCTCTCTCTCTCTCTCTCTCTCTCTCTCTCTATATCTATCTCTCTCTCTATATCTATATCTCTCTCTATATCTATATCTCTCTCTATATCTATATCTCTCTCTATATCTATATCTCTCCACATACCATGTGACGTTGCAGTCATTGGCCTCTTTGAATAAGAAACAAAAAATGGTGAATGAAATAAATTCGTTGTTCCTTCTTTGCTAATGTCTCACAAAAGCAGAAATACACAAAATGTTCTGTAAATAAGATTTTGTAAACCATTCTTTCTTGTTAATTAATATTATACCTTCTTTTGCTGGATTATAATTTTGGCCATTTTAAGTTTTTTTTGTTTTTCCTTTTTTTTCTCAAGCTTCTTGGCTGGCCTTTTTTTTTTCTTTTTTTTCTTTTTTCACTTAAATCATATTCTTATTTTTATATATTTTTTTCTTTTCTTAATTATCTTTTTTTTTTTTTTTTTTATTCTTTTTCTACAAGAAAATTGCTTTGTCAATATATCATTTATTCAGATCTTTCCTAACAAAAACATGGAAATAAGAATGGTTCAAGAAGGAAACAGTTAACAAGCTTTGAGGGGCTGTTAGCATTAAATTACAGGTTTTCTCTTCTTTTTTTTCTTTTTTTTTTTTTTTTTTTTTTTTTTTTTGTTAGTTGATCTATACATGCCTTTTTAAAGACTTTTCCTTTTTCTTTGTCCTTCATTTGAATTTATAGTTGACATTCTTTATTAACAAATTTAAAATTTTCAGAAGCAAAGTTGACTTCTGAGCTCAAGAGAATGACTATTAAAATCAGGAGGAATAAAATCTTGATGTTGATATTCTCTATTGGAGTCTTTTTTGACCAAAATGCTAGCCGTGTGTGTTATATATATATATATATATATATATATATATATATATATTTTCTGCCATTCCACAGGTGAGTTATGAGGCTCTCTTCCTACTTTCTGGCAGGGGTAGGATAACTAATATACACCTCAACAGTTTTAAGATATTTTTATTACAGTATCTTGTACTGTGCTTCCTCCACCTTCTCTCTCTCTCTCTCTCTGACCTTGCCCTAGTTCAGAGAAATGATCAGAATATTTTGAAGTGATAAAAATGCTTTATCTTCCCCTGCTATCTTGAGCAGCCAAATCAGCAGCAGTTAGAAATGATAAATGAGAAAAATAAACAGCCAGCCAATCATTTTAAAGAAAAGCAATCATGTGACTGACCCCCTCCTACATTGTTAAATTGATATACTAATCAAGGAATCAAGCTTTTAAAGGGAAGGCACTCTACACTTATACTATCATTGTGCTGGGCTTTTTTAAATTGTAATTCTCTAGCACTTGGCTTGTGAACATTGGCAAATATAATAAAGTGGGGTGGAGCAATTAAGGTGATGCTAAATACTGTATATTTCCACGTATAAAACGACCTTTAAATCAACCTTAAAAATTAGGGATCATCTTGTACTACAATTCTGTGTGATGTTTGTCGGTAGGCTAACCTCAGCCTCGGTGCAATAACCAATAACGTACATGAAAAGATTCACATTATCAAATAAACTGATAATAAAAGTAATAAAACCATTCCTACCTTATATATTCCTGGCATAACTTCATAATAAATTGCCTATTCAAAGAATAATTCCATATCAATGAAATCAACTTGTGTCCATGCAAGCTCAGCTGAGGAAATGTAAACATCAATTGCGTTCACAGCAATGGAATGTCCTATTGTACTGTTATTAGCTGTATTTTGTGATGGTCGATGAAATACAAGTAAATGGCCATTAGTACACCAGATTGTTTGTCCCTGTTTAGATACAGGAAAAGAAGGAGTAGAATTGGTATTCACAAGAAATCACAAAACAAAATGGTTTCCCTTTTAGGAGACATGTGTAGGAAAGACATGATATAGAATTGGTTTTGTTATTGCGTTTATTTTGAATTTCTAAGGATACATTAGCAACATTTCCAATAACATCTTTATGTAATCAATACTACAGATGTAGGATAAATTCATGAAAATTTTCTATGTTTTTTGACTTCGTCTTATGTAAAGGTTGCCTTATAGGCAGAAATATATGGTAGTTTTCTTTGTGTGTGTTTGCTAATTTTTCAAGTGAAAATTTACAGAACTAAACAAATGGCATCTTAAACTTTTTCCTTTGTTCTCTCTCTGATTTGAAAGGTGGTAAATCTGCCCTTGGCTATGAACAGAGAAATATATAATATATATATATATATATATATATATATATATATATATATATATATATTAAATCTCTTGGGATCAACCCCCCCCCCCTTTTTTTTTTTTGTTAGGTCTTCTAAACACAAGAGAACTGTTGTAAATTTACTGCTCTACATTGATTTTTTCTTTTCCTATCCCATGTCCAAGCTCTTAGCTGTTGTCTTAGCACTGATCCATATTTTACATGTACCCCAACTCCACTCTCCCAGGGCTTTAGTATAGAACGTGTGTTGGCCAATATATGTACTAGCAATATTGTTATATCCTGCCCACTGTAAAATTTGTGTATGCATGTCTTTATAAATAAATAAAAAAAAAAAATAAAAAATAAATTTTCCCCCCTATTCCTGACATCTTTCATGCAAACACTGAACTTTCAGATTGAGGTCATGAATGACTTTTGGAGGATAAAATTTTTGTTTTTCCTCTCACTATCTTCTCTTCCCGTGTCAAGTCATTGGATTGTATATAATTCTGATTTAACTTTTTTTTTTTTTTTTCTGCAATAAACCATTGTACCCAAAAAATAATTTTGTTAAAACTTCCAGGTGAAGCTCTTTCTCCTGTAGGTTTTTTTTTTACATTGAATAGAATTAATGATAGTTGGATTAGATTGACTTTTCTAAATTTCCATTTGGACTAAGATTATCCAAACAGACAAACACTTAAACGAAACTGAGAAGCACAACAGCAAAGATGAGAACATTAGTTGAAATCTAAATACGTCCTCATCCCAGAAATTGAGACTAAATCTTTTTTTGCAATTTCATTGGGAAAGTTTTTCTTGAAACCATGTTTTTCAAAAACCAAAGAATTGGATTGACAAAAATTTTTCAATATTAGAAATGCTTAATTTTTTTTCTTACTAGACTTTGAATATGCACCCACCATCCACACATGGAGATCTGGGTACATATGTATAAACCATATTTGCCCATGACAAGGACATTGTTTTTTCTGAAATAAGTCAAATTGCATAACATACAGAAATTTAGTTTGCCATCTGGCTTATGTAACTTTTCTCTGGGTTTAGCATAGGCCAGGGGTGGTCAACCTTTTGATTCCGTGTGCCAATATTTTGTATGGTTAATTTAAATGCGCCACACAAACATTCACTTCCTTTCAGTACGTGTTGTAATATGGACATATTTTAAAGTTATAATAAAATCTATTTATTTGAAAAATCTATGCTTATGACCAGCGGGGTGGGGGCGTATCCAGAAGTTTTGAGGTGGGGGGGTGGGGGCATCAGTCAATGCTTTGACTTTTTTTTTTCTTTTTTTTCTCTTCAGATTTTGCAGAGGGGGGAGCATGGCAGAGTTTATAATGTTTACATAGGCAAAATAAACATAAATAACTTTAATGTGTCATTTGATTTTGCTTTGTTTTTGCCAAACCAGCAATATTAGGAGTTAAATTCGTAACTGAAAGCAACAAACAATTCTTTGAGTTGGAATCGGACAGTCGCAACCTTTTCATCAAAAGGATGCAATGCGCCACTGGTTGGCCATCCTTGGCATAGGCCAACAAAAAACTAACTTCTGCACAGCAAATTTGTTAGGTTTATTTCAGAAAAAAAAAAACTGGGTCTTTGATGCCAGAAAATACAGTAATTTTGGCCCATTGTCACCTAACCATATGTTCGAAATGTTGCATGTATATTAGATTGAGGAGATTAGTTTTACAATTTTTAGATGTTTTTATTAGTTCTGTTCAGCACTAGGATATGTTCCTCAAATATTTTGCCCTCTTTTCTTTTCTTTTTTTTTTTTTTTTTTTTTTTTTTTATTTATTACCAAAACGGGCTGGAAAACATTTTAGGGATGTTGTGACATTGTTAGTTTTTATTGTTACTTGGATGTTTTTTTTCTTGTCCCAAGAAGTGTGGCTATTTTGTATTCCTCTCTCACCCATTTATTTTCCTTTTAACTATTTATACATTTTTTTTCTTTTAAGTTTGGTGGTGGGGGTCCTTTTGTTTATAAAAAAATCAATGGTTAACCCAAATGAAAGTTAATGTGATTTTTTTTTTTTTTTCTTTCAAGATTTCTGTGCTTGGATACTTCTCTGCCATGCAGGAACAATTATTCCTGTATTTGGTTCTAAAGAGTAGAAAAATGTCAAACAACAAAATGCCTTAAAAATTGATCAATATAAACGGATTTTGACCATTAAAATAAGGTACGAATTAAAACAAAATATAAGGTTTTTTCCCTTCTGCCTCTTTTCATTTTTTTTTTTTTTATATCATAGATTTTGGTGTTAAAAAAATTAAATATATTTTTATACATAATCAGGCATAAAAAGAATACTTAACCCCATTTCAAATTGAATCAAAAATTTCCTAGAGGTTAAAAAAAAAACAATTGGCAAATTCACAAAAGTTAACTAAAAATATGAAAAGGCCTGGCTGGAGAAGGATATCAAAATATTAGAGAATGGCTTGGGCTTTCACCAAAATGTAAAACAAAAACAGAATCTAGCATGAAATTGTGAGGCAGGATGGATTTAAAAATGTCAAACCACTTGGTCGCAAAGTTGGATTTCCCTTTTCTAAGAATGCATATACTCTCATTCAGATATAGAGACTATATCTGCTCGATTTTTTTATCCGATACTTTAGCCAAGGAAGTAATGAATTTTATATATATATATACACACACACACACACACATATATATAAATAAACAGACAGACAAAATCTGTATCCTTCATTGGCATGGCCTCCAAATCCCCTGTGTACCATTGTGTGTCTCATCTGTCCAGATGATGATCTGCAAACTTTGTTGAAATAACTCTGGTATTCTAGACAAGATGATGTGGCAGTGTGGGCAGAGTTGACTTGCTTCTGGTTCTTATGTGGACCCCTCAGATGGTTTACATAACCTGCCCTGGACAACAGTATGTGC